GGTGGAAAATACAACTCAACATGAGCACTGCGTACCATCCACAGACGGATGGCCAGACCGAACTTATGAATCGGATTCTGGAGGATTACTTGCGCAACTATACACGTTCTAATCAAAACACGTGGGACGAACTATTAGCCATGGCCAAGTTTGCAATGAACAATTCGAAGAATAGTTCAACCCAAGAGACCCCGTTCTATTTGAACTACAGTCGACACCCAAGGAGTCCCTTAGCTCTTGGGGTGCAAATTCAGAAGCCTTTGAAAGGCTATGACAATCTGAATGCCCATGGCTTGGCAGTGGCCATTGATAGGGCGCAACAGCCTTATTTGAGGCGAAATCGTATACACCTCGTGGAGGGATTACCAACCATGACACGATTTGATTGTTGTGTCCAGACAGTGCTGAAAGAGGCCAAAGAGTGCTTAGACAAAGCACGGGCCAGGCAGTTAAAGCATGCTGACCGCCATCGGAGGGAAGTGTCGCATGATAAAGGAGATGACATCCTCCTTTTGACACAACACATTACCCTGAAGCACCCGGGAATGTGGAAACTATTGCCGAGGTGGATTGGGCCCTTCACCATCCTTGACCGGATAAGTTCTGTCGTATACCGATTGGAACTTCCAGATAGCATGAGTAGGATACATCCGGTTTTCTATGTATCAAAACTCAAGCCATATAAGGCTAGTGGCAGAGTACAACCACCCCCAGTCCCTATCGAGATTGAAGGGGAGCTGGAGTATGAAGTTGAACGAATCCTTGATAAAAGAGTCAAAAAACGCAGCCGACGGCAGGACTCTATTGAGTACCTTGTCAAATGGCTGGATTGTGGACATGAACATAACAGCTGGGAATCAGCAAAAGCAGTTGCAAATACTCAGGAATTGGTTCAAGCATTTGAAAATAGCAGAATTCCTATGATGCAAGTGCAAACTGGTCGCAATACATGCAGTACGAGATATACACGTTGACATGAGCAAATCTGTGTTGCTATCATAGGCAATGCTCTGTTGGGCCCAGAAAAATACTGGGTACAAAAAAATGCTGGGTACCAGGGTGCAAGATCCCACTCGCAATTTGGATATATGAATGCAATGTCAATTGCGATCATGAGTGGAGAACGAGTCCAGAGTGATGGCCCCCTGGTACGGACTTCCGACCGTGGGCGCGGACGAGGCCGCCAGTCTAGCTACGCTCCGCGAGGACGAGGCCGCACGTGGCAGGCTAGTGGAGGACACCGTGGTGGGCGCACGGGGTAGCCCCTGTGCGTTGTCGACTTTGCTTGGACTTTAGCAGACCGAGAGGTCATTTTTAGGCTAATAGGTCATTGTACTCTTTGTACATTAGATTGACATTGAACTTTCCAACTGATATGCTGAAGGAAGAGTTTTAATGAGGGTTATCAGCAGACACATTGTTCATGTAACAACCACTCTTTTCCTCTTCAATGTAAAAGTGTTCACATATTGTGACTAACTAGGCATGTGACAGAATGCACAACCAGTTGTTACCAACAGCAGGCCTACCGGCCATGCATGCATCTATACCCATATCACCATATTGGGATGGGGACGTCCCACCTCCCTGAGGGGGATGAATGTTATGCACACCGCCTGATGTGGGGGACGCCCTACTAATGGCCCCTTGGTGTGGGGGACGCCCTGTCCAAGGTATGGTGCCATATCCCCAACCCGCTTACAGATATTATACGATATGGGAGTAGGTTGGGGTGGTCCCGCCTAGGTCCCCGTAAGGACCTAGGTGCCTGGCGAGGCGGGTACGCAGCTCAAAGAGGGCAGGAGCCCCACACCAACAATCCTCACATACCAGACGAGTTGACTCAACTCGTTTAAAGACAACCCGTCTAATGCAAAGACATAGTCAACGTTGCAATTGACTTCACCATAGGGAACTCGAACACACGCAACGACTTTGGAAATGAATGGTATTCATAACAGCGAAGTTTGTGTCATTGGTACACAACCAACCCGTGGCCGCGTTTAGGGTGGATCACTCGTTAGACGAGTTGTCCTTAGACCAAATGTCCTTAGACCACTTGTCCATTAGACAAGTTGTCTTTCGACGAATGGGCCGGACACCGGGGTGGTGGGGGGTGGGGGGGTGGGGGGGGTGGGGGTGGGAAGGGGGCGCCGAGCAACCAAAAAGGGCCCGGAGGGGGTGGCAATGGCCCGGGTTGCGGTGGGGGTGCTTCAAGTTGTTCGCTTTTGGAGGTCGCAGAGCAGTGCATCAGGGCTTGGGGTGGGTGGAAGTCGGACGCCATGTGGTCGTTGATGTTTTTCGTTTACCCATGGAGTGGGACATTCGAATATTCCGATGAATGACTATCACTCCTTGTGGCCTACATGAGAGGTTTGGGCACATTTTTTGCGTAGGAGGTGCCTCATATGCCCATTGAGAGTGAATGGGCAAATTGTTAAGTACAAGGACCTTGGGTGTTTGAGACAATGCTGACAGACACCTTGTGTACAATTTGTAATGTCTTGTCGTGTGGAGAATATAACTGGGTGGTTCAGGAGACTGGTCAGGTAGAAATGCAATAGCTATGTTGTTGATATGTTTCCACCAAGGACAATGCTGGGTGGGTTGTACCGATGATTCAAATCGGTAGCAGTTGAATTCGGGTAGTGCTATATACAGTCCGCAGGGAGGGGGGTCGCCCATCACTTTGCGCTGTGACGTGGCATTTTGCCGGGACGCCGTCCCTCCAATTGATTCAGGCACGGATCAGGCCCCGCCAAAACACGATGGTTTCAAAACTGGGAGCGGCCCCTGCCAGCCCACAAGTTATGTGGGCGGCTGCCAAGTCTCCATGTTCGACCAGCCCAGGCGCGATGGCAACGATTGCAATGATGGTCAACCTGGCGACCAAGGGATCCCAGGCGCCGGCACACAAGGAGCATCACCCCTCACCAGCCGCGGCATCGGCTGCCGCATCGCTGGTTGGGTCTACAACGTCTTCGCCATGCGCACCTTTGTGAACAAGCAGAATGCCCGTGCCGGCCACATTGTTGGCTGGAAACCACGCCCCTAATAAGCGCCCCGCAGGCTCTTTGCCTTCCCAACCTGCGCAACTCGCAATGGCCCCAACACCCAGCTTGTCCCGTCAGTCTCCCTAGCCGATCTCGGCAAATTGCCAATTGCGCCAGACAGTAAACGACCGACTATCGGATCGACACCTTCGTATCCCCACTACAATGGGCAACTTTAAACGCCAAATAACAGTGCCGCTGCCGTGTTCACAAGGCACATTTTGCGCGAAACCAACGAGATCTGCAGGCTGTCAGCCTACAAATGTGCAAGGCGATCGATTGGGTGAGCAGAGTGCACAAAGCAGGGTTCGAAACGCGCTCTTATCCCACAGCGTACAACGCCTCATTTGCTTTCCCTAGACTTGATTAACACTGGGAGGCCTATACTGGATCCGCATTCAGCTTTTCGTGGTGAGTTTTCGAATCGAGGGAACTTTCCTCTTCAATTCTGTACCAATTGCCGTTTGTTTCCGATTGCAGTTGCCACCATGGTGGCCATGGCACATGTCTGCTTCTGGGCACAATTTGCTTTGGTCGAATGCCTTGAAGGACACGCGTAAGAGGTGGATCTGCTCGATGATATTGATTCCATGGGCCAGAAGTTTGCGAAAGGGTGCGCTGCAGCAGCCGATGGCCCGGCTTGTGAGGGGCGATGCTCCTTGTGTGCCGGCGCCTGGGATCCCTTGGTCACCAGGTTGACCATCGTTGCTATCGCGCCTGCGTTGGTCGACCACGGAGACTTGGCGGCCGCCCACATAACTTGTGGGCTGGCAGGGGCCGCTCCCAATTTTGAAACCATCGTGTTTTGGCGGGGCCTGATCCGTGCCTGAATCAATTGGAGGGACAGCGTCCCGGCGAAATGCCACGTCACAGCGCAAAGTGATGGGCGACCCCCCTCCCTGCGGACTGTATATAGCACTACCCGTTGAATTCAAACACGTTTTGGGCCCCTCTAGTACCTTGGAAACTATGTACTTTGACTGACCCAAGGTGCTGTCAGTTTGGCGTCCTTGGACTCTGGCAGGTTGGCAGGGCTGAACGGGGGCGGCTACTTAGGCTCCCCCCTCGGTCCCCCTCCTATCTTGTTTCGCACCCGGCCCTTCTGCCCTAGATAGTGGAGTACGGTTAAGGAAGATAGAGGAAAGTTGTGGAAGGAAGTATTAGATTAGGGGGCTGACTCAGGGCTGAGTCACGGAGAAAAGAGCTGTGAAGTATGTGCGAAGCGAAAGGGCAAACAGTTAAGTACGGGGACCTCGGGCATTTGAGACAATGGTGATGGACACCTTTTTTACAAGTTTGCAAATGTCTTGCTGTGTAGGGAACATGACCAGGTGGGTTCAGGAGACCAGTCAGGTGGAAACGGGGTGAATTGCTAGGGGTAATTCATTCACTATTTGCCGCACAAGCATTGCAAGGGGCCTAACTGTTAAGCACTTGCCTCACTGTGTGAGTGCACACTTAACCTTCGTACTCAATGCAAAATCAGCACAAGAGCCTTAGACTAGCCATTCTACCTTCTGGCACAACCCCAGCAAGAACACAGAATACACAGAATACCGTGTTGTCAACAGCTGCATGGATAAAGGTGGTAGAAGGGCAGTACAGTATGTAGCGCAAGTTGGAACAAGGCAGCAATGCACAGGGAAGGAGCCAAGCAGATCCACAACGACAAACGAAGCATAAGCCCACATTCCCACCACACTAGGACAATAAATTAAGCACAATCAATACAAAAATCCGGCGATAGATCTCGTTGAACCACCATTGTTTATTCGTTGTTCAAAATTTGCCAGCACTGCTGCACAGTTCATCACTGTCAAAACAATCCCAATCATGAGACCCCATGCCCCTGGTGTGCCACTCCTGTCAACGCTCTCCACCAAACACTACATCCAGCTTGCTAATCGAGCAGCAAAGACAGGATGGGATACTTCCATGCCTTAGCCATCACTTTCGATGCTTTTTCCTTCTCCCTGAGTCACACAATATCATATCTGTCATGCCCCAACCTCATAGATCCTCTCATTCGCAAACGTGACAACTGTAAGACAGCTGCATATTGCCTTGCATTCAAAACTCATGAGACAGCAGGACACTCCTCCAACAAAACCGACCGGGGAGGGGTTTTGGAGCGGAAAGGCAAATGAACACAACCACAGAACGACAGAAGCAGAGAGCCTATGATTTCCAAACGTGCACAGTCATCCTGATTTCAGAGAAGATAACCTCTGCGCACTGGTAAAGGTCAAGATGGGAGGCATAGTGAGTTGACTGGTAAAGAAAGCCCTTTCAGACACATTTTGCCCAACAGAACCCAGCCCAGCCCAGCTGCCCAGCTGCAGCCCATGCAGTCACCAGTACTGCTGCGAATTGAGGCAGGAGTCACAGCAAAACTGAACTCAGGGGGGCACATGGATGGAGTCAAGGTGAGACATCTATCATGTGACTACCCATGAAAAACGCATCTCTCAAATCACATAGGGTACTCTCAGGGGTTTTACAATTTTTTCACTCCATGGTTTGATTTGCTCTTACATCTTGTTGCACCAGTCAGAGCGTGCTGACAGGCAAATGGGTTTGCACTAGTGTACTTGCTTGCACCATCTGGGATGCACAAGGTGTTGGAAACTGTTGAAACTGGTGGCTGTCTCATACAACAGAAGATCAGGAGCCCATCGGACAAGTATCAACTTCCCTTCCAGATTCTGCAATGACTGCATCCTAAGGGTTACCATCATTTGTGGTTTCAAGTGCCCATCCCTGCCACCCTCTGCGGCTCAGACGTGCCGCGGCTGTGCCGAACAATGCCTGTTATTGCCCCAAACTTGCTGGGGCCCTGGTTTTGTCAGGTGGTGGGAAAATTGCAATCCAAGGTGCTCGATGCAGCCAGAGGGACCGCACCCTGAGAATCAGCCATGTTGCTGTGGCTTCAGGACCTGCCCCTGCTTCCCTCGGTTGCTGGGGCTCTGCCGCTCAGAGAAGCACATCCCAGAAATTCTATCAGCCCCGCTTTTCGCCCGCGAGTTTCACGCCCGCCCGCGTCCGACGTACGTGCACCGCCCCCCCCCGCGCTCGCCGCCGCGCGCCCAGCCCCTACCGCGCCGAGGCTGGCCTCCGCCTCCCTGCCATCCGCCGCGCGCGCCGCGACGCCCCTTCCCGCCTCTCCCTCGCCCTGCGGCGCCGGCCTCTCCCGCCTCGCCACGCTCCCGGTGCCCCTGGCCCCGATGCCTGGCCTTACCTCGACCGCCGCCGTCGTCCCATCCGCCCCCCTGCCGCTTCTGAAAACCCGGCATGCCGCGCAGCGCCTCGCCTTCGCGGCCCTCCGCCCGGCCGCCCCGGTCGGGCACCCGCCCGATGATCACGCCCTTCACCGACGCGCCGCAATTCGACCCGCCCGCTCGCGCCGACACGGATGCGACATCCGCCAGTCGGGCATCGAACAGGTCGGCCAGGGACACCGACGGCTCGGGGTCCATCCCGAGTTTGGCATTCCGGACGATTTCCTCCGCCTCGGCCTCCGTGCACTTCTCGCGTAGCCGGGCGGACCAAAGGAAGGACTGCAGCGTCACGCCGGCCCTCTCGATCAGCATGCGCCGCCTGAGGCCGTACTCCGCGGCCATCGCGGCATGGATATCCCCCACCAACCCCAGCTGCGCCTCGCTAAGCTCCTCCCGCCCAATCGCCGACGAAAAATGCTCCTCTGGCAGCCGGCTCAGGAAGCCCTCCACCCGGGACGCCACCGTGGCGACCAGGGCCTCGGCGGAGCCCCCAGCCACATCGACTTTGGCCGTCACCGCCAGGCGCCTCAAACAACCGCTGACCTCCACGCATCCCTCCTCCTCGCGATCGACCCCGCCCTCCACCTGGCTGGATCCCCCGACCCTGCCCGCCGCGGTCTGGCGCATCCTGCCGGCTTGCAAAAACGCCACCAGGGCCTCCACCGCCGCCAGTCGCCCCGCTCCCCCGCCCGGATCCAACTTCTCGGCCAGGGCGCGCAGCCTCGCGTCCAGCCTCCCGCTCGACGCGCTCCCCTCGCTCTTCGCGGATTCGATCACCTCCGTCGCCAAATTCGAGACCTCGGCACCAATCCCGGGCAGCGATTGGGCCACTAGGCGGATCCCGCCGCACAGATCCCGGCAGGCGACCAGGAAGCATGGCCGCAGGCCGCCGCCCGTCAGGTCGCCTTCGACCAGTTCCGGCGCGCCACGGATGGCGCAGCGCTCCAGGCGCTCCAGCACGTCCGTGGCGGCCGCATGCATAGCCACGGCACCGGCGCACGAGGTGGGCGGCGGCAACCCGACTGGTGGGGTGAGGGCAGCCGCGCTGCCGCACCGCGGGTGGGGCTGCGGGCGTGTTTGTGTAGCTGGCGCTGACAGATTCTGGCGACCTTAGACAGTGGGCGTTCGATGAACAAAATTAACAAATGCACATTGCTACTGTGTTGGGGAAAGGTGCTGAGTGGGAACCGGTAGACTATGGGGAGAGGGCATGAGTAGTGAAGTGGGGAGATGGGAAGTGGGTCGGAGGTCTTGGAGTGGAATAGGTAGGAACGAGGGAGTAAGGGCGTATGAGGGAGTTAGTGGGTAGGGACCCTAGGAACGCCGGCGGGCGGACGGGTCCAGGTAGGCCGGCCTAGAGGATTGGTGGAGGAAAGGGTGCCAGGATTTGGGGTGAGGAACGGGGTGAAGATATCATAGGGAGTTCGTGGGATTTCATTCTCGAAGGATCGGGTCGGAGGTCAAGAGAGTGATCGGGTGCGACCGATGACAGCCGTGAAGTCGTCGTCGATGTACATTCCCATCCCCGGGGATCGAGAGAGTACCTATAAAAGAATAGCATGCTTTGTAATGAATGCTTGGCTTGGGGTCAAGTCTGTCGTGTGGCCTCGGAGGCCGTTTGAGAGCGCGCACCCTTGCCGGGCATCTGCGAGTGGGCCGGCTGCTGTGCTGCCTATCAAGGGCACCGGCAATTCCAGTGGTTCCGACGCCGGGACCTGACTCGTGAGGACGCCGGAGGGGGTGCGGTTGGAGGAGCGATCGGCGGCAGGAAGCCGGCCGAGGAGCGATCGGCGGCAGGAGGCCGGCCGAGGAGCGATCGGCAGCAGGAGGCCGGCCGAGGGGTGACCGGTGGCGGGAGGCCAATCGGGAGAACGTGATTGGGAGCAACAGGGAGTATGAGATTGCGTCCGCGATTCTTTGCGGGGGATGGGTCGCAGGAAGACGTGGAGGGATGGCTATTGCATTTTGAGGGGATCTGCGTCACGGGTGGCGTGAACAACGATGCACAAAAAATCGCCTTGCTAACGGTTAGCACTTCGGGCGAGGCGACGCGATGGGTGCGTGCGCGATCCAAGTGGCTGTTCAACGAGGATCGTACGTGGAACGAGGTGAAGGAAGCGTTCCGGGTCCGTTTTTGGATGAGGATATAGAGGATCGCGTTAACGCCGCATTGCGCACGCTTGCCCAGCGGGAGGGTGAGACGGTAAAGGAGTACTTGAGTCGATTCCGTGAGCTATTGGCAAGGTCGGATGAGGCCACCGAGGATGGGTGGTACCGCTCATGGGTAGATGGGCTGAGGGACCCTTTGCGCGAGGCAGTTAAGTTTTTGGGATATGTAGATCTGGAAAGCGCTGCGGACATCGCCACGCGCAAGGAATGTGCGTCCCGTAATGCGGAGGCTGAGGACACCTCTAAGCCCTCGGAGGAGCGGCAGGATGTGGGCGCGGAGTTGCTGGACGCATTAGGAGAATGGGCGTTGCGAGCTCGCGCGAGGGGAGGGACGCGGCAGGTCGCGATTGACCGATCGAGCGCTGAGCATGCCGGATCGAGACCGAGGGGGCGTGAAGCACGGGCATGGGGCGAAGCGTCGTCAGGGGCGCAGCGACCGCAAGGGTTGTCAGGCCCGCGTGATGGGCGTGATCGGGGTGTTCCGCGGGGGCCGGTGGAATGTTGGAGGTGTGGTAAGTTAGGACACGTTCAATGGCAGTGTACTGAACCTATGCCGGGAGAGGGGCAACCCTCGAAGGTGGAAGTGAATGCGCCCGGTCGTGGAGCGGCGGATCCCCCACGATTGACGGGGGGTAATCGTGCGGGACCGGGTCGGGATATTCCCCGTCGAAATGAGGAGCAGAAGGGTGTTCGGGTCGGACGATTGGCCCATGCGATACTAACCAATGCATGTGTGACTGGAATGGAGGAGGATGGTGATTCATGGATTTCTGAGGAGGAAGGGGTCCAGGAGGATGCCCCATGGAGTGACGATGAACCCGCCGCCACACGAATGGCCGGCAGCCGTAAAAGGAGAAAGGGGGAAGGTCCCAGGAAGCCGCGCACTCGCCCCACTCTGCTGCCTGAATGGAGGGAGCACGTCGCACGGACTTGTGTCATCCCCATTGGTATGATGAAAGGGCTCTCTAAGCGCGAGGTGTACACGCAATTGGTCCTCGCACTGCGTGATCTGTTGGGTGCGACTCGGAAGCCGAAGGGCTCGGGAGGAGCAGCGGCTCTTGGGCAGGATGCGATGCAAGTGGCACGGGTGGCTGGAACTGGAGTCCATGCGCAATGTACGATTAACGGTCTACACGTGAAACGTGTGATTTTGGACCCGGGATCATCTCACTCCCTAATGGACAAATCGTGCGTAGACCGACTGCGCCTCAAAATCGCAGGGAAGCTGCCAGGGATCGAACTGGCAAACGGGCAAACGGCCCCAGTGTATCGGCTTGCGGAAGATGCGGTGGTCTCCATCCATAGGGTCGCTGCCTCGGTGCCCGCGCGTTGCGTTGATGCGAACGGGTCATACGATGTGCTCTTAGGGCAGGACTGGTTAGCCCTGACTAACACGGGGGCCCAGTTCCATTCGCAGATTTACTCCCTCGCTGGGGGAGAGGTGCAGGTTCGGCAACGCGGGCGCCAGTTGGAGGTGATCAATGTGGACGCAAGTAGTGGCAGCAGCGATTCAGGTGAGGGGGAGGATTCTGACTCGGATTCAGGTCAGGAAGACGTGGTAGGAGAATTGGACGGGCTCCTCGCGCAGTGGGGTATGAGTCATGCTGGGAATTGGGAAGAGGATTCGGGTTCGCCAGCGCAATTCGCGGGTCTCCCACGTATCCGGGATGACACCGACAACCTGTGGTTGGAGGAAATTCATTTTGGTCCTACTTTGAGTTCGGGTGCAGTCGAGGACATCAAGTCGGTGCTCGTGGAATTCAAAGATTGTTTTGCGCTGTCATTCGCTGACCTCGAGAAGACTCCGTACATGAAGTTTGCGATTAATTTGCGAGAAGGGAGTCGACCGGTTCGGTGTGGCCGCCAGCGACGATTCGCGCCCAAAGAGTTGGACTTTATGAGGGAGCAGATCACCGCGTTGCTCGAGGCGGGGTTCATCGAAAAATGGGAGGGAGAGACCGAATGGCTTTCCGGGGTGACATTGCCTCCCAAGAAGAATGGGGAATTGAGGCTGTGCTGTACGTTCGTGGCGTTGAACCGTGCGACGCTACCCGATTCTTTTCCGTTGCCGCGGGTAGACGAGATCTTGGAGGAATTAGCCGGCGCCCCACTGTACTCCAGCGTTGACGGGTACAGCGGATATTACGCAATGGAAGTGGACGAGGCTTCGAGGCCTTTGACAGCATTTCTCACGCCTTTAGGGGTATTCGTGTGGAACGTCCTTCCCTTTGGGGTGTGTAATGGCCCACCCCGGTACTCGCGCGTTGTAGAGGCCGCATACGGACCGCTGGAACGGGTGAGGTCCTTCGTAGACGATGCGGGCATGGCGCATAAGGGGGAAGACGGAATCACTGGGGATCTGCGCCAATTTCTGGAGCACACGCGGGCGTTTAAGCTTAAGCTCAAACCTAGCAAAACGCACATTGGATTTGAGCGACTCGAGTTCCTCGGACACACACTTTCGCGGGAGGGGTTGGGAACGGTCCAGGACAAAATCTCATCGATCCGTGATTTCGGGACTCCTGCCACTCGGCAGCAGATCCAATCGTTTTTGGGTTTGGCAGGATACTATAGGCGTTTTGTGAAGGGATTCAGTGAAATCGCCAGGCCATTGAGTCAACTGGTGGCAGCCATGGGAGCGAGAAGCAAAGTGGTGAGTTCGGATTGGGGATCGGAGCATCAGGCTGCATTTGACCAGCTGCTACTGAAACTGTGCGAGGCGCCCATTTTGGCAAAGCCCGACTTCTCTCGCCCTTTCATTCTCGATTGTGATGCCAGTGCGGTTGCGGTGGGGTGTGTGTTGTCGCAGAACCACACGGGTATGGAACGTCCCGTCGCGTATCATTCGCGAGTATTGACCGGGGCTGAGCAGAATTACTCAACCACTGAGAGAGAGTGTTTGGCTGTAGTCGTGGGAGTGGTAAAGTACCGCCCGTACGTGTTGGGCAATCGCTGCTTGGTCCGTACGGATCACAAGCCAGTCAAGGGGCTTCTACAGAAGGAGGGCCATACAGGTCGCGTCGCGCGTTGGCAAGTAATTCTGGGGGAATACGACCTGGAGTTGGTCTCGCGAGCGGGGAAGCAGCACGGTAATGCTGATGGGCTCTCGCGATTGGTGGCCTCTAAGAGCACCGAGTCCAGCGCTGCGGTGGACGACTTGTGTTTCGCTGCAAGGGATCTGGAAATTCCCGCTGAGTTCCACCGCTTTATGAGCAGTCCTTGGTATAAGGAGATTGCGGAGTGGGTGCTGGCGAATCCGCAGCCCTTAGAGTATCGCATTGTCGGGGGGCGATTGATGAAGCAGCTCCTGGTACAAGGGCAGGTCCTGTGTCTATTGGAGCAGGAGGTTCCTAATGCCTTACTGCAGGGGCATGATTCTGTCGTAGGGGGTCACTATGGACGAGATGCTACTTTGCGCAGGTTGGCACAACAGTTTTGGTGGCCTAGTATGTGGGCTGGCGTCGAGAAATGGGTCGCGAGCTGTGAGATTTGTCAGCGGCACGCGCCTAAAAAATCGGCGCAGGCGGTGGGTCGCATTATCACTTCGCAGCCGTGGGAGTGGGCGCAGATCGATTGGATCCTCGGGCTTCCGCAGACCAGCAAGGGTAATTCATGCTTGATAGTGGCGATCGACGGGTTCACCGGATTCCTGTCCGCGAAAGCTTACCCGGCAGCGACTGCGGCGAATTCTGCGCAGTTTTTCGCGATGGAAGTGGTTTTCAAGTACGGGGTGCCCCTGCGAGTGCAAACCGATAATGGATCCCACTTCCTCGGAGCATTTCGGGAGCTATGCACTCGTTGGAACGTCAAGA